CAAAACTACCCGTTTTTGAAAATCTTATTCAGTTTTTGAGATACCAACTTTTAAGATGGAACAAAATTTAAAACTTTCTGTTTTATAGCAAAAATTTTTAAAAATTCATAAAAAATCAATTTCTTAAACAATTCTTTCCAAATTTTATCATTCTATAAACAGAAACTCATTCTTTTAAACAAAACTACTCGTTTTTTCAACTTCAAACTTTTAAGATTGAGCAAAATTCACAACTTTCTGTTTTACAGCAATAATTTTTACAAATTCATGAATAATCGATTTCTCAAACAATTCCTACCATTTTTTTTTTCATTCTATAAACCAAAACTTTTTCTTTTAAATGAAATTAGCCGTTTATAACCTCGCTTATTTGTTGAGATACAAAGTTTTAAGTTTGCGAGAAATTCAAAATTGATCTAACACTTATTTTGGATTAAATCTTTACCTAAATCGGTTAGACACTAAATTTATAGTTTTCTCTAAAAATATAGACTACTTAATTTTCGTTATAAATCGAAATCTTCTTGTTATTTGTATTTTTTTTTAAATTTTTTGTATATCTTTTTTTTCTCAAAATCTATAATAATTATTATTTTTTATGTACTGAAATCATCTTCGAAGTATTTGTACTTAATTACCCATTAGATTGAAAAAAATTTAGACTTAAATGTATTACGATTACCATATTTTATATTATATACTATTCTCCCAACCACACGCTCGATATACTCCTGTACACTGTAAGACTGTTCAAAGACAAAAAAAATAAGAAATAGAAAAAAAGGAAACGTAGTAGAAGACGTACGTTGATCTCAGGACGCTAACGAATAAAAATGAAATCAAAATGAAAATTTTTTTATAGCTACGAGGTATATTTTGTTAGGTCGCCCCGTTTGTTAACCACGTACAAATACACGCGAACAATACTTTTTACAAATAGATAACATACAGTTAGATTAATAAAAAGTGTAGTTGCACTATAACATTTACTGTAATTATTATCATTATTAATTAAAAATTATTCTTAATAGTTAATAAAACTTAGGGATATTATAGTTGTAGGTGAAAGAAACTGATTAGATTTATAGGAACACGCCTTAATTTTTTTTTACCAAACGTTACTTAATTATTAAATTAATTAAGTGTATTGTATATATTTATTGGAAACTTTATTTTTATCATTTTTATACATCATTTTGTATTTTTTGGGTAGTTTGATGGAGTTAAAACGAAATTAAGAATTTTTACATCAAAAAAATATGAACTGCAACAAATAGTAACAAACTGACTGATTAAGACTGATTTTTATTAAAAAAAAAACATTATTTTATCCTATTTTATTTTTGTTTTAGCTTTTAATTTTTTTTATTAATTAATTTTAATTCGATTAAGCTACTCGTTAAAATTTTTTTTTTAACAAATTTTATATTAATGTTTAATTTCTATGATTAGTGTTAGTTATCAGAACTGAAATGAAATGTTTATTTTTAAATTACATTACAGATTTGTCAAAAATTAAAAAAAGCAATGAAATAAAACCGAAAGCCTTTATTGTATAACTCCGATATTATTATATAATGAACATGTATTTCTTCAATAAACGTAATCAAGCAATAAATTTTTTTATTTATGTAATTTATTTATTATTATATTTTACTAATTCCTATTCTTTTTTAGAGTTGGTATATTACGTTATTACGTGATGCTTTACTACAAGAAATTAATTAAATTTGATTCTCTTTTAAGATGAAACGAAAATGGAGATGGAGATTATTAAACTAAGATGATTCGAGATCGAACACTAAAATATCGAAACAAGACGGTTCTTTGAAAAAGTGATTAATTGTTTATTTATGTAAAAGAAACAAAAAATTAACATAAAATTTAATTTCTATAAATTATTTGAGTATATGTATATTAAATACATTTAGGTTCACTTTTACCAACCTCCTGATAAACTATCTAAGGGATAATTACCATGGTTATTATCATTGGCTGAGCGCCACTTTATTATCTATCGGATAAATTTATCAAGAGGTTGTAAAAGTGGGCCTTAATGAATTATAATATGAATTGTACCGAAATTAAAGAGTTAATAAATAAGTTTTGTAATTATTTGTATTGATTTTGTTCCCTAGTGATGATGTGTTAGGTACTAAAAGTATTGTGATAATAGACCTGTTTTGGTTCAAGAGTTCTGCAGTTCCAAACAGTTCTGAACCTTTCTGCGCATACATTTAATACACAATAAGTATGCGCAGAAAGATTCAGAACTGTTCGGAACTGCAGAACTCTTGAACCAAAATAGACCTAATATACCTAACTATTATGTATATAATATGTATTGATGGTAGGTGAAGTTACGAATAATAATTATAGAAATTTGATTTTATATTAGTAAAATGTTGTAAATATGATAGAATTCATTATGTTTTGTTATCCGTTTACGTTTTTTATTGTATTTAATCCATGTAAGGTCAAAATGAAATAATTTTGACAGTAACATAACCTCAAATTTCACATTTCATTAATTTCTTATTGTAATTCATATTTGTTCGGTTAAAACCATTGAAAACGATAATCTTAGCGTGTTAAGAACGAAAATCATCCAACATATAGGAGTTTTGATGAAGAATTGGACAAAAATCCATAAATTAAATAATTGAATGTATTTTTGAAGCTGGACGTTGAAATCTAAAAGAAAATGTTCCGAAATCAGCACAAACAAAGTTAATGCACCAAAACTACAACATTTCATACATAAATATTATTAAAATAGAAATTTCAATAATTTTTAAAAAAATGTTATTGGTGACATTTTTCATTTCAAAGTTGGCTATACCGGAGAAATTTAAATTACGAATTTCAAGTTGAAGAATTTAACCAATCAGAAGACGTTATTTGAAACGTTCTAGCATTAAACAAACGAAACTGGTAGATGTTAGTAAGATTTTGAACGTGACGAGGAGTGCACGCTAAAAGTTAATATATCTGTCAATCATCATTGTGACATAACCTCAAAAATAGTAAACTTATTATTTAATAAGTTTAATAAGAAGATTATTTGAATTAAAATTATTGACCTTTAATAATAAACAAGAAAATTAACTGGTTCCTAATCCAATTAATCCATTAATTCCGAAGAATTATTCCAACTCAATCAAGAACCTTGGTTACCCATTCCTTTTTAAAGTCCAAGTTTTTAATATCTATATCGTCGGCAAATGCCAAGATCTGCGTTGACTTCGTGAATATTGTTCCAGATATGTTGTAGATCAAATATTTTTGATAAATCTCTTTTTATTCTGACATTACTGGACACCTTCCTGAAAGTTTTACGTATCATTGTTACCAGATGAGGAAAGAGATATTACATTGCCGATATGGTGACGTGTGGCCAGTTGAAGTCCAGGAAAATATGATGTGTATCTGCATTGTACTCCATACACTTTTTATGTTGAGAGTAATCAGAGCTAATATTGAAGGCCGTTTGAAACTATATTAAGTAGTAAAAAGAACCATATACAGGAATGTCCGAAAGGCCATGTCTGGGATGATATCGAGGTGTTCCATATTGACAGATAACCAAGCTATGATGTTAAGCATAGTCTATTGACGCATGAAGAGATAAACAGCGAAATATCGTTAACAATAATAAAGAAATATGTAACAGATGGGTACACCACTTCGAAGAACACTTAAAAGGACCAGAAGAGGATTCTTCTTCCTCTTAATTAATACAATTCATTCTTGGTCCATCACGAAGTTTTAGCTATATCTAGTAAGTAAATTGAATCTCGCTTTACAAAATTAATACATTTAGTGTACTATTTTGACTTCCTTTAATTCTGCTGCTTTAATCAGCTGTAATTAAGATTGATTAAGACTGGTACGTTGGTTGAGAGCAACCCAGTACCTAAAGATAAGACGGTTGGAGCAGGGGCAGATCAGAGACAGTAAGCCGTTATAATTTCTGAGTCATCTAGCTGTCTTAGCTAGAATTCCTGCCTTAGTTAACACCATCATACATTTTTGCCGTTTTCATAGGCGATCTTCAATATCAAAAACCGCCATATAGAAGAGATCGCTAGGAATACGTCATCTTTATAGGAACAACAGTGTCAAATCACAAACATGGTACAACCGAGACGACAACAGTAAGTTGAATTGATTATGTCAATTTATGGGACCTTGCTACTAAGTCAGAAACAACACAAATCATATATGATTGAGGCTGGGTTTATCATCCAAACACTCTTTCTGGACATTATGTGCGCAAAATGGGGTTATGCGAAAGAATATAATTTTGACAAACAATAATTTTTTAAACCTGAATGTTTCTACTTCTAATTAATGTTAGTTCTAGTGGCAGTGGTAGGAAGTGCTAGCTGATATGTTAGCATAACATATCACTATGTTGCATATTTTTATTGCTCTATAACTAGAACTAACACTAGACCTAGAACTAGAAAGTATCGGCTAAACCCGTATGTTCTAGTTCTAGGTCCAGTGTTAGTTCTAGTTTTAATTATCATGCAGCGCTAAACCAAGAACTAGAATCATTCGGNAACAATTAAAACTAGAACTAACACTAGACCTAAAACTAAAACTGCGTCTGAAGACGCACGGCTAAACCCGAAGCTTTCTAGTTCTAGGTTTAGTGTCAGTTCTAGTTTTACACTAGGCACTATTACTATGTAGAACTAACACCATACATAGAACTAGAATCACTTGGGTTTAGCCGCACGTCTCTAAAGATGGCTAAACCCGAATGATTACCAGAACTAACACTAGCCGTTTTTGGAGACGTACGGCTAAACCCAAATGTTTCTAGTTCTAGGTATAGTGTTAGTACTAGATAGTAATGATGTTAGTGTAAAACCTGAACTAATACTAGACCTAGAACTAGAAAGTTTCGGGTTTAGCCGTCTTGAGAGACGTGCGGCTAAATCCGAATGTTTCTAGTTCTCGGTCTAGTGTTAGTTCTAGTTTTGCACTAGCATTATCACTAAACCTAGAACTAGAAACATTCAGTTTATCCGTGCGTCTCTCAATTTGCGCAACCATCAACTAATAGGTGAAATATTACATCGTTGAAATTAGTCAGGCGCAAAACAGTGGACATTATGTGCTCAAAGTGGAGTTATGCGAAAGAATATAATTTTGACAACTTCCTCGAAATTACAAAACCTTCAGTAGTTTCGCAGATCAGTAACCCGAAACACAAATATAGACCTCAAAGATAGATACATTTCCTAGATAACGTGGTCGCGAGTAAATTTCAACATCTAAACCCACAAATATTGGAAGCTACCCGTCTGTCTATAAGTAGTTGGGTCGAATACTACATATGCAGGACTTCTGACAATTCTCCTGTGGTAAAGTATCTCCTTGTTAGTCGACCTGGAAGGATCTGTTTCCGAGGAAAGCATCTCAAAATCTGCTTTTATTGTTGATATTGATATGATATATTAGTATTACATAAAATTACAGATGTTTCCTGAAGATGGTTATACACGGAAATAAGCGGGCAAACAAATATAGCTTTTAATTAACAAAAATCGAAGACCAATAAAAAACGGTGAACATTAACAAATAATTTTTAATTCATGATACTAAATTAATTTAATTTTCAGGTTAATAACAAGGTTTTTCCTCAACATTATACAGAAATGAAGTTTTGAAATGATTGTTAAAATGATGGATAAATAAAAACTAAAATCCTTAATATCGATTTAGTATAAATTTTTGGAGCTTGGTTATTTTTTTAATATCGTAAAAGTAGTGCATCCAAAAAGTAGATTTTTTTTAATAATAATAATGAACTTTCACCATTTTTTTTTTCTAGTCGTTTCCAAAATTAATAATTTTTGTTAGTTCTTCTTTTTCGCACTAACGCCTGTTGTGTTTCTAGATTTCCAAGAATTGGCCAAAGCCATAACACGACAACACTTCAGCAGACTTCTTCAGTACGATTGCGCCAAAATCACCAGCTTCCAATGTCCGTTGTGTCCGAGGCGTTGCAAACGCGAAGACGTTCTTCGCGATCATTTGAAGAAAATCCACAAAATCGAAGACTCCTAAACATAAATAAAAAGCATAAAACGATGATGATCTTAATCAATCGTCATCGTGTAATTGTCGTGTTTGCTCGTGTTTCCCCCCAAAAAAACCCCCCAAAGTAGCTATGTAGACATTACTGTGTCTTTTAGCTAATCAAGTAACGAAAAAGACCTATTATTACCTACTATTACTATAATACTTTTTAAGTAAAAAGTAAAAATTTCGGTGCGTATTTTAAAATAGTCGATGCGACGTTTTAAAATAAAAAAATAAGTTTCGGAAACGTTGTCTACTATATTGTAGAAATACTCATATTTGTGTAACCGTGCTATGTTCTTATAATCCCCATCAAATAATTATAATTCATTCATTAATTTATGACGATATTGTATTAAGATGAAAACAAGAAATAGATATGTATCAAGTATATAAAAATGGGCTCTTTTTGAAACCTTTTTAACTCAAACAATATGATTTTACATTGAAAAGAGTCACAATTAAATCTTAATGTTTTAAACATTAAGTATAGTCCTCGTAGCGAAATTGTGCAATTATAAATCACCATATCTAGTAAGTACATATTCTTATCCAATTGAATCTTCCAATCATCTTATCGAAATTATTAATCATCACGATTTAGTAATTAATTTTAATGTAACTTTAAATGTAACGAATCCATAATAAAATTTTCTAATTCAAATATTATTTTAGGTTTGGCGTCGAACAGTCAACAATACTACAGCAAACGTATAAATCCTAGTAATCCTCATTGTTGCTATCGTTGTCCTCGAAGATACAAGCACGCGAGTGATTTAAAGATTCACTTAAAAGAGTGCGGTCAGAGACCCAAGTTTTCGTGTCCCGTATGCGAGTATAGATCCCATAGGAAATATAATGTAAATCTGCACATTCATAAAAAGCATGGAATTATATTATGAAATGATGTATGACTTAATAAAAAAATATGTTTTTGAAAAATAAAGTTTAATTTCCTGTTGTTTTTTATATTAATAATTTGATACTTTGTTTTGTATTAATTAATAAATATTCTTTTCTTTTTAGGCACTTTCTTTGAAAATTCAAGTATTTTTCGTAAGTTACAGCAAATCTAATGAAGTTAGATAAATCTTTAATAAATTAAAGTTGTTGAAGATTTTTTTAAAATTTTATAAGATAACACATTTATAACCTGAATAAAATTATATGATATACAGTGAATTTCACTTAAGATACAATATACAACAATATATTTCCATAGAAACCGAATAATTTGTCCTACATAAAATGCAACATGTCAATATATGGGCTAGAGCAAAAACTAGAATCATTCGGGTTTAGCCATCTTAAGAGATGTGCGGCTACACCCAAATGTTTCTAGTTCTAGGTCTAATGTTAATTCTAGTGACAGTGCAAGTGTAAAACCAGAATTAACACTATACCTAGAACTAGAATCATTCGGGTTTAGCCGTCTTTAGAGACGCACGGCTAAACCCGAATGTTTCTAGTTCTAGGTATAGTGTTAGTTCTAGATAGTAATGGTGTTAGTTCTAGTTTTATTGTTATGCAGTGCTAAACCAAGAACTAGAATCAGTCGGGTTTTCCCGTGTTAAGAGACATACGGCTAAACCCAAATGTTTCTAGTCCTAGGTCTAATGTTAGTTCTAGTGACAGTGCAAGTGTAAAACTAGAACTAACACTATACCTAGGACTAGAATCATTTGGGTTTAGCCGTCTTTAGAGACGTGTGGCTAAACCCAAAGGATTCTAGTTCTAGGTATAGTGTTAGTTCTACATACTAATAGTGCTAGTGTAAAATTAGAACTAACACTAGACCTAGAACTAGAAACATTCAGGTTTCCGTTTATCAGCGCAGTTATCTGTCGAAAATAACTGTGAGAAAATCTATGTAGTATATACTACGGGCAGAAAGACCCTGGTCGGTAGCCCCATTCTCACCCCTTCACTTTTTTATTTTTGTTGTATGCATATAACAATATATATATATATATATATATATATATATATATATATTGTTATTGTTATTCTTATTTTTTTATGTACTGGGTTCAGAATAAAATTTGTTTTTCTTCTTCTGTGCAGTATACTTTCAATTTTCGTCTCAGTTCCGACCAATTTTTACTCAGTTACCCCGTTACTTTCGACAGGTTTGGTTCTAAGTGTGTTCTAAAATAATTCAAGTTCAAAAGGTGACAGAAAAAGAAGAGCCGCAGTTTGTTACATAATTGCAGCAGTGTTGCTAGAAGAGGAAAAAAGGAAAAAACGTTGGTGCAAATCTTGGTATCTGCAAAGAAGCGTTTTACCCAGTGATTACCACTTACTGATTGAGTTACAAGAAGGTGTGGAAATTAACGACTAAATAAAAATTACCTAAGGATGGACGAAAATACATTTCAAATTTTATTGGAAAAAGTTGCTCCTCTTATTGAAAAAAAGGACACAGTCTTGAGGGAAGCAATACCAGCGCATGGGAGAATGATTGCCACACTCAATGGGAATCTCTCATTCTCAATGAGAATATCTCCTCAGGCTTTTGGAGAGATAATAATAGAAACATGCGTGGCAATACGGAAAGCGCCGAAAAATTGTATTCTGGTAAGCTTACTTTATCTGGTAAGACCATAGGTGTGACTGAATAAAATATGAGGAACCATACTTTATTACTATAACTTAATTATATATAAATATAAAGAGATACAATATATTATATTGTTATTGTAAATTTTGGCATTCGTTGTCATCGTACAAGAATCCCTCTAACAGAGTCCCTGCCGTGTGGGGTTCAGAATGATGAGAATACGAATTCGAACCCCAACTAGGAGATGGTGATGGAGTGGATAAAGGCCCCACATCAGTTGCATGGAATACCACAAACTCGGAACATACACATCATTAGCTCAACACTATCACATGTTACATCAGGCTCAAGAGGTTTTAGTTTTTCAATTAAAATGTCGTATGCTGCCGCTTTCTTAACATGATTAGAATAAGATACGCATGTGGTATCCCAAAGCTCAGGATAGGACCGGTAGCAGTCGATAAATGCTAAAAGCGAATCTTTTTTGGAGACCGTAGTCATGGTGATTGTAAAAATAGGATGGCGATTGAACAACCTGTACGATGAAGTAAATAAACTACGCAGTTATCGGTGTAAAAGAGAATCCGAACGCACAGACATTTCATCTGCGTGAAAACAGTCCTAAACTGCACAGTTTATCGCTCAGACATGACGTCACACGGTATAAACTGCACAGATAAACGGAAGATGTGTACCCCCTTTAAGACGGAAACTCAGAGTTATCATAAGGAGTCACCTTTTCCAAGCAAAACTTTTCCTTTGTAAAACTACCCTATGCCTGTACTATTAAGCTACATTGCGTTTTATGTGGGACAGTGCAAGTGCATAGTAGTTTGGTAATTATGATTACTGCATTCATATAATAAAAATTTGCACAATTTGTAAGCATTTTTCTAGTATTAAATTTATACCATAATGAAGTGCCAAAACATGCTGTGCTAAAATTGCCAAATATAGCACGAAGTTATTTTTTTGAACTTCTAGAAGTGATTTATATTTAGTTCACTACATCAACTCTTTTAGCTACTTCAGATATTTTTGCACATTATGTACTAAAGATCACTGTATACAGTTAATAACATTCGTCAAAGGCTTTGAAGGTTACTACATTTGGAACGTTGATAAACCAGGACACTACTATGTCACATCAAAACGATTAAGACGAGTTATTCTTAAAATATTGACAGAAAGAGGCGAAAATGTCTCCATTGCGTTGGAACCCAACATCGCGTTAATGCAGGGTGCGGCTAAACAGATTAAGGGGTTATAAAAAAAGCAATGAGTGTATATGAGAAATTTAGGAACCATGTTGGAGACGATATCTGATGTTTTTGTATTACTCGTTCACACATTTCACATGATATAGCGTTAACTTCTGTAATAATCCACTCTCTTAGTTCTGATAAGATCTGAGAGCTCCGTTTAAGCACCCTTTCCTTCAAATATCCAGTGGCTACCCCTCAGAGAGGTGAATTTCGAGCTGTAGCTTCGTCTTGCTGATACCATACATCCTCCAACACCTGTTCGTCAACAATTTCTTCAATTCTTGTGAATTAAGCGGTCTTTTGTGAAAAATTTCACCCCAGTAGCGAAAATTATGTTTTTTTTCCTAGCCCCATTGAGGTGAAAATGCGCTTTGTCGCTATAAGTGAAAGAGGCGTCTAGAATAATCTATGCAAGCATTTTCCAAAACACATTTCGGCGATTGGCGTAGTCTGCTGGTTTCAATTTTAGGGACATCATTATTTTGATCATCAAATATTCTTGGATTGGTTTTCACAGTAAATGTTAGCAAGCACGCGTAGTCACCAATTCTAGTATTAATGGAATTATGATGATTTCTCTCTTTCGTAATTGCTGGCATACGGTGCATCTAGAAAATGTTAGCATATTTGGACAATTCAAAAAGGTGTTCTTCTCCTTCTTCGCCTAGCGCTAACATTGGATAAAAAATCCCGAAATTAATGTTTCGTCATCTCTATGATTGCTAAATGTTGAATGCTTTATAAGAGAACATCAACAAAAGAACTTCTCGTCTGATGATTTGAACTTTGTACTTACAAGAAAATTG